ACATTATGGAAAATAATTTCCCCAATTTAATACAATTTTCCAATTAGACTCCTAGCATATAATACTTGTTTCAACATTAGTAACAAAGTGATAATATGAAATGCTATTGATGGAAATATTTAATCTACTTAATTATTTTTTAACATCTGTATAGTAGACAAGACATGGATCAAAGCATGCACAGTCTCATATTTGCCAGTTTAATGCAAATTAAAGAACAAAATATGAGCATCATTTTATTATATTATTCCATTATGCCTAATATAATTATTGTTTCAGTTTCCTTGTTGCAGCTTTGTTTTCACTTTCTTTGCATATCTCACTTTCCAAAGTTTAATAGCAGAAACACTCAAGAACTGACTGAGACTAGAAAGAGCTGTAAATATTCTTCAAGCACGTAAGAGAGAACCCATAGAAAACGGCTCCACAAGGAGTAACTGGAAATGAGAATTTAGCAAAAGTGAATGGTTTCTTTACAGCGTTCAAAGAAAACATGGAAAAAATAAGTATTGTAGAGGTGGCTATAGTAACTTTTGTTCTAAGTTAAGTGTTTTTTTTTAATACAAATGTCATTAAACAGCATGAGGAGATCAACTTGGAATGGAAGCACTCAGATTCAACAACATCACTCCAAAGGAGCTGAAAATACAGACTGACAAGTCTTGTTTCACTAGAAGCAACCCTTAGTACTTACAAAGCTGTCAAAGCTGTTGGATAAAATAAATGATGAGGAAGACTTAGAAAGCCTTTAATAATGGCAAAAGCGATGTTCTTAAACCTTAGGAAAAAAAAAAAAAAGAGAGAGAGAGAGAGAGAGAAAAAAAAAAGCAATAGTGGATAAAACATGGAATTCTCTCCTAAATTCTGAAGGAATAGTGTAAATTCTGGTTAGGTCAAGAGAATTTCATAGTAGACAAATGCATTTTTGAACATTTTGCTAAAGCATGTAAATGAAAGGAACAAATAAATAAAGGCAATGGGAGTATGAACATAAAGAGCATTTCCTGATTTAAAACAGAAAGAGAGTAAATAACTAAAAGTAAATGCCATCATGTTAGAATATGTCTAATAGATGTGTCCTTCTGGTATCATTATAGAAACCAGATAAATTCAGCCTACCTACTAATGATGTATAGCAAATGTTGAACTGTGAGATGGAGCTTTGCTGACAGAGTAAAAAAATGCCTTAATTTAGTCAAGATTAAACTGGAATTTGAAAAGCTCCAGGAATAGCAGTGAGAAGTAATGTGCAGCCAAGGGGATGAGGAAAAACACTGAAAATAAAAAGGAGATTTTGTAATGGAAGATGTAATTGTTTTCCAAATAATTTGTAATATATTGCAGAATGCATCAAGGTTTCAGTATGGTCTACAATTACATATTGTAATTGGTAGATAAATGTATTTGGTAGAAACTGTAGGCACCATGAAACCTTTGCTTTCAAAAAAAAAATCAAAGATGGTATTGAGAGTCAATACTGCACATTCCTAGCTCTCTGCCCCCGTTATCTGCTTTGGTACTGTTAGATCAACCACTTTTGTTCTGTTATTGATCCTGACCCCTCCTTATAACAAGCTTTGTACCATACAAATATGCATTTTACATAAACTGATCATGCTTTTCTTATCTCAACCGTTTATTATTTTTAAAATTCATTCATAGTGCCAAAGGTTGCCAGATATTGCTTGACTCTTTAACTTTTAACATGTGTACAAAAGGTATATAAAAATATAATAAGCCTTTTTTACTAGGTCAGCAGACTTTGAGAGCAGACAGATGTTTCGAATAACTACAATGTCACTGTTAGTACTGCTGGAAGTCAGCTCTTGCCTGGGTTCTGTCTTTCTGAAGTCTCTTTCATCTTTAAATAGACCTGAAGCCAACTTATAATTTATTCTTTTATTCATGACCCAAAGTCCACAGTTTAAAATATAAGGATGTAAAAATAAAATCTCTAGTTCCTTCAGTGATAAAATTCAAGGAATGAGCAGATATCTCTGTAAAAATCCTCGCTTTTTGTTGCAGGATATATTTCACACTTCAGCTGTGTACCTGTAGAAAACGCCTAGAACTGACCCTAACAATTTTTCTCCTAATATTGACTTTTAATAAAGCAACACAAACATTTATTTCCCTCTCCCCTGATCTTAGATCTTGCTGAATTTTCTAAGCTTCCTATACCCTATACAATTAACATTGGAGGGCAGTTGGCTGTCCAATACTTACTGGAACCTGTAAAAAACCCGACCTACTGTTGTTACAAAATGTAACCATGTTGTAAAATGTTAAGCTAAAATATCAGCGTTTCATGTTGGATCAGATATTGTTGTTTGAACTTTATGAACTTCGTTTTTTTCCTCCTAAAAGAAAATAGTGAGCGGAAGGGTCATGTTATTAAATTTACAAAACTGATGCCTCTCCAGATTTGACTTGGTGGATAAGACAAGCACCACAGGTAAAATTGCACTGTGTGTCACTCTGTTAGGCTTCGAATCTGCTGAGTGCGGCTGTTTGTTTTACCTCATTGCAAAGACTGGTATTTTTTATGTCAGGAAGGGCTCCATGGAACGGTGCAGGGGACTTGGGATCAGTCAGTGACAAGTTAGCATGGGATTTAGGGAGGAAACCTTGTGCTCTCTTCCATCCGAAGTGTCCTGTGCACAGTCAGCATGTTCAGAAGCTAAAAAGGAAAGCCTATATCCAAGTAATATTTTTAAGATTCATTCATGAAATTTTTTTCTATCATAAAGCCTCCGCTCTGCCCAGATGTGTTAGAACAGCTCCTGAAACTATATTGAATTATTCGGGGGCTATTACCTTCACTACAGCAGTCTACATGCTAGTTTTACCAATAAATATATTGGTAAGGCCAGCTCAGATCTATATATCCCTGTCCAGAAGCGGTGCAGAGATCGGCTGCTTTTACTTAATGAGTCCGATAACGTCCTTCCCAAGGAGAAAGGAAAGGGCATGGAAAACGTTTGTTTCTCTGAATATCCTTGCAAAAAGGTCAACCACAAAGGAGATCTTTGTTCTCCTTCCTCTATCCAGGCAGGAATACTGTTCCTCTCAACACGGTTGCAAAAATACATCTGCACTGAGTGCCCTAAGCAGGGCTAAGTATGGCAAAGATGTTCTCCGCAGTAAGGCTTGCTCCATCGACACAAATTTATCACACATTGTTTTGCTCTTCACATTTTAGTGTTTAGATTTTGAGCATAATAGCTAAGAATCCTTGGTATATGTTGCCTTGTTTTTTTTTTTTTTTTTTCCTCCTTTGAATTTTCCCTTACTACTGTAATGGGTAGGTATACATATCAACTCTGTCCTGTAACCTTGTTATCTGTTCTTATTCGGTAGCTCAAAACTTATGAGGACTCACTCAAATACTTTCAAGCTGTAAATTCTGTTGAAGATGTTTCAGTAGGTTAGACTTTCAAAAGTGTAAATGATTCTGTGTCAGAAACTGGGGCTGGAGGGATGAAAGGTGTAAAATGTTACACAGCCAGCCTCTCTCAGCCAGAATTCTGTGCAATTTGTCTCTCACAAAAATAAATAAATAAATAAATAAATAAAAATCCACATGCAAGGGAATGAGTATCCACATTTGCAGAGTTATAATGGATGTATGTAACTGGATGTATATAAGTGGAGTATCTCCATTTCCCCCAGTTATCACCTCTCTGACGCCCTGATGCGTCATCCAGCGGTCAAAGGGCTGGCGTTGCTGCATTTTTGTAGCTTGTTATTTCTTACCCAGGAGATACCTGTGCAGTGTTTGCCGCTTGCTGTTCTCCTAAATCTAGCAACCTTTTAAGTTGCATTTAGGTTTTCAGTCATGATCGTTTATGTAGTACAAATACTACTCGTTGCACCTTTTGTAGCTCTCCTAATCTTTTCCTTATGTGCTATTTCTGTTTTTCTTTCAGCTTTATACAATTCTTCCTCAAAAGCCTGAGTAAACAATGAAATATATCATTTTTCTTTTGTTTTCTTTTTCTTTTTTTTTGTATTTGTGACTGATTGAAGAAACTTGGTATTTAAGGGACAAATGCACAACTAGTCACTGAGCTTTTCAAGAGACCTCTTTCCTGTAAAGGGATTGTTGAAACATTGCTTTTTCATGCTTAATTTGAAAAATTTAGATGACTTGTAGACCTGCAGCAAATCGTACATCAGTCGTGAAAAGAAAGTTGAAGCAGGTTTTAATAGTTCCTAGGTTGGTGCAAAAGGAGGTGGATGAGGAATGTATCTGCCTACTGTGCTAAGCAAAAAGTGCATATTGCTCTGAGATTAAAGAGCAGTATCTTGGAATGTAATCTTAAACTAACTGCATTTCTGGTCTCATACATACAAGGTGGTTGTTTAGCAGCCACGATCACATGTAATATGGACTGCTCAGTGTAAGCTTTGGCCTTATTAGCTTTATTTATTTATTTATTTAGGAGGTAAGAGCAGCGGCACAATTTCCATTTCCTCTCAATGCACGCGAGGTCATCCGCAAGGCAGAGCCCCAGTGTCTGTGACGGCCGAGCGGGAGGAAACGGCCTCTCCACGCTCGGTTCGGGAGCCGCCGGAGGGACCCTCGACACGTCGCCCCTCGCGCCTGTCGTCCCCGGCCCGCGGGGACACGAACCGGGAAGGAGGCCGGGCCGGTCCCCGCCGTGACTGGGCCCCGCCGCCACCAGCGGCCACCGCGGGCGGGGCGGGACATGGCGGCCCGTCCTCCCCGCCCGCCGCTCCTTCCGGGGGCGGCAGCGCGGCCGTACGGACCGGCCCTCCCTTTAAAAGTAATAACTTGGCCCCCCCATTCCCCCCAAATCCCGGCTGCGGGGGCATCGTGCGAGCGCGGGTTGGGATGAGCCCCCGCCGCCCCTGCCCGCAGGAGGCTCCATGGCCGCCGGGCCGGGCCCTCTTGTCTCCCTCCCTCCCGTCCTCCCCGGCGGCGGCCCCGCCGAACGCGAGCCCTGCGCGGCCGCTCGCAGAGCAGGCCTTTAAAAATGGCTGCTGGGGGGAGCTGTCAGGCGGGCCGGGTTCCGCGCCGCCCTGCGCGCCCGCCCGCGGCTCGAGCCGCCCCCGCGGCCGCCCGCTCCTCGCGCTCCGCCCGCTCCGCTCCGCCCGCGCCGGCCCCACAAAGGCGGGGGCGCCGCGATGGAGGGCGCTGTGTGCGCGTGAGCGGGGGGCTCCCGCAGGAGCGAGCGCAAGGTCAGGAGGCAGCGCTTCCTCCTCCTCCCGCACGGGGAGGCGCGCGGCGATGGGCGCTGAGGAGGACGGCGCGGAGCGGCGCGTGGCGCAGGGCTCCTAGTGCCGCGGGGCCGCAGGAGGCGGCAGGGAGCGGCGCCCGGCAGCCCCCCCCACCCCCGCCGGATCTTCCCCCGCAGCGGAGCCGAGCGGCGGGGATGGAGGCGGGCGGCGGCGCGAGGCGGGCGGCGGGAGCCCGCGGCCGCCCGGGAGCCCCGCGCTGCCTCGCGGCGCTGCTGGGCGCCCGCGCCTGGCTGCTGCTCGCCGCCTGCCTCTGCCTCGCGCTCTGCGCCCGCGGCGCCCAGGGCAAGTCCTGCGACCGGCTCTCCTGCTTCTCGGGCCACTGTGTCAACTCCACCTGCGTCTGCGAGCAGGGCTGGGTGGGCGACCAGTGCCAGCACTGCCAGGGCAGGTTCAAGTAAGTTCCTCCTTCCCGCAGTTCCCTCTTCTCCTCCTCAAAGCACTGCTCGTCCTTCTTGGGTCATCCCTCATTGCCTGCTTGTTTGGGTATTTATGTATTTTTTTTTTTTTTCTTTCCTTGCTCGTGTCCGCTGTGATTTTTTGCGTGTGTGGTGGAGGGAGGTGTGTGGTGGGAATAGGCCGCCTGGTCCATCCCGCTAAAAATAGGGGCTGCGGTTGTCAGGAAAAGGTACCTGGTGACTTGCCACCGAAAATAGGCTGCTCCGCTCGATGGGAGCTGAGGAGCAGTCAGCCTGGAGCTGTGTCACTGCTGTCCCTTCTGGAGGTGCCATGGAAATGACATGAGTGCTCCATGGGCTTGCCGAGCCAGCAAAAGAGCGTGAAGGGATTTGGATTTCTTTCTGGAGATTGAAAGGTACCCTCCATTCTGGTTTTCCCTCGTTTTGCAAGCGCCTTAATAAGTGGGCATTAGCCATGCACATTTGGGACATCATGAATGTGTTTTTATGCCGTTATTGAGACATGCATCACCACGCTTGCAGGAGAAGACCCTGGCATAATGGCAGAGCAGCAAGTTAGGAGCTGCCTTCCCAAAGGAGCGAGGGGTCTGTGGGGACAGCCCTGCCTCGGTCGGGTACCAAGTTGTTGATGGGCAGGGAGGAGGCTGGGGCTGACACTGGCCATTGCCCTCTGCAGTCTGCAAGCCCTGGCTTAGGGGGCTGTCGGTTTCCTCCCCCTTTTGTAGGGGTGTTTCAAGTATCATTTTGTTGCTGTTTGACTATTGTTGCTGTTTTACTATGTAACCTTGGACAGGACACTTCATCCCCTTGGAAAAATAGCCTTTAAAAGCAGGAAATATACCTATGAAGTATGTTGACAGATTCTGCTGGAAAGTGCTATAATATGGAGTTAATAAGAATGTATTTGTGAGGCTGTGTTTTCCAGAATGCATGTTTGGCTTTTGAAGAGTATTTTCATGGCTTAAAGGTACCTGTATTTGTCCAGTTTAAATTGTGCATAAATGTAGCTTTCTATTTGGAGTGCTAAAATTGAACTATATATTTTTAATATTTAATCTGAGGTTGCTTATCTCTAASCAGCAAGTCAACAAAGTGATTTGCTAGCCCGGGAGATTGAGGAGTAGTTAGCCAAATTAATATATATGTAGTGGGGAAAGCAGTTCCTTGGTAGCTCCGCATTTGGTGGATTACCCCATCAGTGGGATTATAATAGAGGTAACAARGTAAACTAAGGCAAGCTTAAAACATGGGCACGTTAAGGCGTCTCACCTGTGTGTGAACTTGAGGATGAGGTTTCCAGAGTGGCTCTCGTGTCACTCGTGTGTGCCGAGGGCTTGGGCTCCGAGCCTGCCCTGCGCCCTGGAGCAACGGGATCCTTTTGCCCCAAGGGGTGGGCATGAGGAGGAGGCCTCTGCCCTGCGGGAGACCTGCCTGTAGAGCTGCTATTTCCTGGTTTTTATAAAGGGATTATTTGTATTCTTTACCTTGACACCAGTCACAGCAGTCCCTAGGAGCACAAGGGATCAGGCAGATTGTATTCTCTTTAAAATTCAATGCTTTCCGTGAATTCTCTGAATAACAGAGCTAGAGCAGAGCTCCCTTTAGGCAGCCCTTGGAAAAATTTCCATGACTCTTTGTTGCTAAAACACTTTTGCTTCTTATTTACCCTGGTTGTGTTTGTGATGAGGCAGGCTTGGTGGCTGCGTTTTCGCTGCTCGCCTCTGCTGGAATGCTAATAATCCATCTCCACCTAGAGGAAGTTTGTCTGAGTGGCGAAAAGACACCTTTCCTGAGCCAAGACAAGGCAGTTTAGTTGATGTGATTTTAAGAGTTTGGGTGAAAACAAAATAGATTTTTTTTCAGTAACCTCTCCCATGTTTTGTGCTTGTCTCTGATAATGGTAGGGATGCTGGARTTATGACTTTTGGCACCCAAATAAGCCCTTTCCATTATTTCTGGAGACCTGTTCACCTCCTGTTTCCCACCCAAGGACATTTTCATAGTGGTATCCTTGGTAGGTCACCCTAAATCTTTAATCTGCAGAGCAAAACATACTCTGCAATGAAAATGACTGCCCTAAGACTCACAGCTTTGTGCGACTGGTGAGTTGGGGGATAGTATTAAATATGCTAACGTGTATTCGAACACAAGCAGCAAATTAGTCACTGCATTGAGAATACTGAAAATTCATGGTGTGTCAAATGGGTGAGTAGTGAAGACCTTGTATTTACAGAATAACTGCAAAACAAATACAGGTTTCCCCCTGATGTCAGGCMACTGAAGACCTTGCAGACCGTAGCAGAGTATCGGTAGCTTCATTTACTGTAATGGAGCTTTTGGGCATGATTGTGGCTGGCTGGCTGAGGCAGAATTCCCTGCTCTCTACAGTGGTGGCCCCAGCTGGGTTTCTGCAGCCGCGGTGCCCGTGGTTGCCCAGCCCGGCTGCGTGTGTAGGACCTCGGGAGCAGTTGCTTCAGTCGGTGACAATTATTTGGGGGGACACTGCAGAAAAGCAGAAAGATGGATAAATGTGTTCGGCTGTCCAAAGCCCATTGAGAAATACTTTGTGGCTTAAGTGCAATATATGTGGCTGTTAAGAAGTTAATRGGAACATGTATATTATTTCAAACGCTTTTTTTCTCCAGTTTCAGCACTGTGAACTGCGTCTGTATGTCTATATTGTTGCAGACAGATAAAAAGAACTTGATGACCTACATTTGACTAGTGTAAAGCCTGTTTTCTATCACTAAATTATTTAGTTAAATAGTTATTTTGTGTCTTTGGGGAATGAATGACTTGCATTAACAAATGTCAGAGACATTATCGTAAGTACTCTAGCTAGGGGAAACTTGGATCCGTTAATTCTTTGGTGAGAAATATGCCATATTTTGGGGTTTGTTTTTTATTTCATTTATAAGCTAAGAAATAACAGGCAAGCAGAGAGACATCAAAATGATTAATCAATCCTAGCGAGCAGACATCAAAATGAATTGACAATTCTATGCAATCTTGCTTTTTTTTTCCTGGAGATAACTTTTCATATATTGCTCAGGAGTGGATGAAAGATGGATGGAGAAAAAATAAATGAATGAAAGTAATAGAATCATGCTTGAGAATCCTTGCATATTTACTCCTTATTTTAAGTGGGAAGTATGTAATAGCACATTATGTAAATGGTATTTGTTATTCCTGCAGTATTGCATGCACATCCTCTTCTCTGTGTGATGTTCTAGTGCCTCATCTCTGTCTGATGGTAAATTATTTTCTTCTCTGATCTGAATGGATGCCTGAATGCAACTTTAGGCTAAGCTTAAAAATGACTATTGAAAGAATGCAATCCTTTCTGAAGTAAAATAATTTTCTTGTCTTGGAAAACTGCTGGAGGCACTTTCTGTAAATTCCTTTTAGTGATCTGAGGAGGAAAAACTTAGAAACTTAACTAGATTTCAGCAGGGAGTGCAGAGTATTGGAGGATTTGCAGTGACTGGTGGAAGAGCTGGGGAGAACAGGGGCTGTTTGGTTACCAGCCTGGGCCAGGAAAGCCAGGGATGTGATAGGAGTCGAAACCTGGTGCCCGCAGGTACAAGCGTTTCAGACCAAATAAGCTTTAGTGTTTCCAATTAGATTAATTAGATTATAATGCACATAATTATATATTATGTGCAACACATGCTTTTTCCTGACCCTGTTACAGTGAATTTGTCTGAAACAAAGTGACGACAACTGCTTCTTTTTTTTTTTTTTTTTTTTTTTTTTTTTTTTAAGGAGAGACTGTAAGGAAAACTGTCCTGTACAAACAGTTCCATTTTCCCTAAGTTTTCCTGTACAAACAGTTCCATTTTCCCTAAGTTTTAGCTACAGCTGAAGCACTTGCTAGAAGCATCACCCTAACTTTCCTTTGCCGTGACAGTCCTTCATCTTTTAGAAGCTGTTGAAGGTATTGGGAGCCATGTAAATGCTATGCGGAGCTGATAGATTTTTAGCAGAAATAAGATGATCCTTACATGCTGAGCCCTAGGCATAAATAAATGGGAAATCTGGGAGGACCCTAGCAGAATGAGCAGTGCTTTTACAGGCATTACTGCCCACTTAGAGGCGAGGAGTGCAAAACATCTAGGAATAGGGCAGTGGCAGCAGCTTCTGCTCAGAGAAGAGCTAGTGTCCTCGTTAAACACCTCCATGTAACCTGCCTTAATACAAGGTGTCATAGAAGATCCCAAGTTTTGGGGAAAAATCACTGATCTTATATATGAGGTTTTTTTTTTTCCTCCCCTTAAGGATGTTTTATAATGGCTTTTTTACTCCATACAGCACTGTTTAGCAAATAGTTGGTTGAGTTGTGCTTTGTGTTTCTGTGTATGGAAGAGAATTTTTCTCCCCATAATTCCTTCCTTGTACAGAAGAAGGGCCAGTGTTAAGAGCAGTGATATTCACCTGGCAAAGGATAACAGACATGGGGAGGGAGGACGTGCAGTTAACACAGTCTCTGTATTTTTTGTGACATTAGACAAAAACAATAATACAACCTAGCACTTTGCATTGTGATTTCCAAGGTTTATTTGTACTCCAAGGGCTGGGTGGGATGTGCAGCTCTGGGGTGCACTTGAAGGAATCATTTATTGCAAAGCCAGCTGGTAAGCAGTGTGTTTTCGTACAGGAATGTGCTCTATTTATAGCTTATTAGTGATGCCCATTCATTGTGGGCATCCCCAGAGCCCTCTTTCCTGGCRCTGTGATGTTAAAAAACCTGTGTGAACTGATCCTTGCAATATTTTTTCTTTTTCTTTCTTTTTTTTTCTTCTGTTTAATACCTGGTTTTAGTAGGTGTGAGAAATAATCTTCCTATCATAAGAAGGCGAACAATTATCTCAGGAAGAGACCTGAGAGAACTGTTATCCATCTTGGTAATAGAAACGGTTCTGGGTAGCTCTCTTTGAGAGCTTCACTTCAATTTGAATTTTGTGAATTGTCAAGTCAT